TTTTAGCTATTCAACAAATATTTGTGACCACTCTGAAGATCCTGTAAAATTCAACACACAAATGAGTAGAGGGTGCGGTGTGGAGGCAAGGCACACAGATGGCAATGGGAAAGCAGTCTGGCTGGAGCCCAGCGCGTGTAAAGTTGTGCCCAGTAAAGCTGGTGATGAAACTAAGGGGTAAAAGTGCCCGGTGTTTGGAACCAGAATGCCTCAGATTTGAGTCGTGGCTCTGTAACTGTGTACCCTTGGGCAAGGAACCAAGCTCCTCTCAGCCTTAGGCTCCACACCTGTAAAACTCTTGTGAACCTCTGCAATACTTCAGGTTTCTCTTCAGAGGTAGCTCTGCATACAGATAAGTACACTGGATCTTGCTAATGCCATGGTTCTCAGGCTCTCAATAGCTTATTGACATCCCCTCTCATAAGACTTGAGCAAGTTTTTGGTAAGATGATCTGGACAGCAATGCCAGAGTGGGAAATATAAAAAAGGACCGTCACCATTAAGTGCTACCATGTTTCTTCCAGGTAGCCTACCCTATGCTGTAAGGTACTTTGTTTTGTTTTATTTTTTCTCTTTTCCCTACTTTTATTTGTCCAAACTCACTCTGCAGAGTCTGTTTTTTCCCTACCTTTAATAAATGTGAAACTTTGCCATTGTTTAAAAAAAAGGCCCCTGACTCTTGGCCACAGGAAACAGCAGTGACTTGGTTACCTGTTGGGCTCAGGCACTATACCCAGGACCAAGCAGTTTGCCCTGGGACAGGCAGTCTCATCCATCAGTCATCCAGGCGCTGACCACTTGCGTGACTGCTACAATGTATTAACCTGGTATTTCTTGGTGCCAAAAGCCAGGAAAGTGATACAGCTTGTCTTCGCCTCCCTGTCCTTAACCTGTCCTGATAAGCCCAACAGAGTAGGCTCCACTGTGTAAGCACATCCTTCAGCTGCAGGGCCCCAGTACTACACTCCTCTGTGAGTCTTCTCCTCGGGGCTACAAGAGATGACTGATGTGAACCATCTGATAAACTGGACAGCTCAGGATGGATTTATATATTTTAAAAGCAGTTCCTAGGTGTAAGCTCTTTTTACCAACAGTCTTTTACATACAAACACTGATAATATTAATAACAGTAATATCCCAAATTATCAATCAGCAGCCGTGCCGGAGTCAATCCGTCAAGTGATCACATACATGACTACATCTGAGCCTCATTACAATCCTTTGAGGTAGAGGCTGCTTTCGTTTTAAAGGTAGAAAAATAAAGGCCCTGTAGGAGAGTACTGGGATAGGTGCTGGGCTCTGGGTTTGATCTCCAGCACTTGTGTGTGTGTGTGTGTGTGTGTGTGTGTGTGTGAAGTGTGGGGCCTGTGCTGTAACCATCAGGCAACCGTGCACTCAGCAGCTAACTGGCGTCACCCAGGGCTAGCAGAAACTAGATGCCTAGGCTTTGCCCCACACTTCCAGAATAAGCCTTGATAAGTTTCTACTCAAAGACCAGCATACTTTAACACTAGCTTATGTGTGCTAAGCAGATGGCCTTACTTAACTAACTAAAGGCATCCCAGGGGTTTTGGTGAGCCCAGAGTCTCTATTATTCAAAAGTATACACGAGACAGTTAATTATTTCAACCTGACCATAATACCTACAGGGTACAAAGAACTACAAATGTCAGAGCTGGGCAACATAAGGAGGCAAGTGAGAAAGTCCTCTTTTGCCACAGGGAAGGGAAACCTCAAGTGGTCCTTGACTGGACTAGAGACAGTGGTCACCATCTAAATGTGCCTATTAATCTTCTCGTGCTTGACATAGAGCAAACGATAAATATTTGTTGCATGGACAAACCAATGATGGGCTGACTCCCTCAAGCTGGAAGTAATTTCACTGTCCTCAAACCTCTGTGTATGTGGTCTGCACCTTGTTCCCCTTATTTACCACATTCTGTCTTGCATTCCTGATGTCTGCAACTGTGTCTCATCTCTACCAGAAGGTAAGTGCGCAGAGGTAGACCCCATCTCTCTCTGAGATAGGTCTTCCTGCTGCCCCTAGCACAGAGCACGGCTACCGCTAGCAGAGACCCTCAAGGTTCAATGAGGATCTGGCTTGATTTGCAGCTTCCACCTAATTCACATCTGTGGGTCCCAGCTAGTCACAAGGTATAAATGAGCCCACCAAACCTTTGAGAACCATGGCCCAATTGTGTATTGCTGGGAAACAGCAGCAGGGAGACCTCTGGGTGGAAGTCATTAGGAATCTGGTAGACCACATTAGAGGACAGCCTCAGGAAGACCACAGCTCTGGGAGGTAGAGCTCCAGATGCTTGGAAATGAAGAAGTTATAGTAACAAATTAAAAAAATGCTTTTATTTAGTTTTGTTCTCCCGGATAGGTTGTGGAAGCCACATGTTCCAAAAATTACAACCATAGTTAGGAACACCTTAAAATACCAAAGACAGCAACACAGACCCCATAACAAATACTATCCACAAATAACACTCACAGATGGCCAGAGTGCCAGAGACGGTCAATTTAAAAGATGAGGAATACATCTTCCCTTCACCACCAATCCCCTTTCAGATCCTTGCTCTTGGGCTTGGTGCCACACACTGCACAGTATCTGGGTGGCACTCACGTCAAGCTGCTTTCTGCTGCTTCACACCCCATCACCCCGCTGGAGCCTCACACCTTGTGATGAAGGAAGCTCTGAGACTACCCAGTGCACTAAGCAAGGCTCAGGTTGCACGACGTGCTTGAAGGCACCAGAAAGTGGCCAAACGTGCAGCACACGCTTATTTGTGTATGAACCAATGAAGGCAAGAATCCCTCCAACCAGAAATAAACTCATTGCTTCCGTCCCAGACTTTCATCTTAACTTGTTTTCAAATCTATTTGCTCTATATCACACGATGCAAAAGAGTTCATGTGCTTCTCAAGAGAAAAGCTGTGGCAGGGGTTGGGTAGGTTCCCCAAAGAAGACGAGGCTATGAGGTGTTTTAAGGTCATCCGCAAAGCCTTCTCTGCATGCTGCAGTAAGAGGCTGTCACAGGTGCTCGGGGATTTGTAGAATGCCACACCTCCAAGTTCCTGACAAACTCAACCTTGTGGAGACACAGGCAGGTAAGTACTCAGAGCAAGAAGATACAGTGGAGGGCAGCGTTGTGAGCACTGTAAGAGAGATTAGGACGCAGAGCGCTGGTAGTGTATGCAGGGGTTTCTCACTTTAAGAAGTCAAAAGGCAATTTACAAACTAAAATAGAAAATATCTTGGACTTACTTTGTCCATTATAGAAATGGGCAATCTTGAGGGGGCAAAATCTACCAATGACACAAAGTGAAGCTACAGTAATGTTTGAAACTGCTTTGGAAAACTGAAGTGGGGCAGGGGGTACTAAACAGTTACGCAGGGTGTGAATCTGTCCCGGGGTCTTGCAGCTGCCCTGTACCCGGGACCTGGAGTCTGAAGGGTACGGGCAGGAAGCCAGGGGTTGGGGAGGGGTAAGAAGAGTAGGGTGAGGCAGAACTGAGGACCTTCAGAACAGGGGACCAAGTCCTCTCACTCGCTGCTACAACCTGAGAGGCTCCCCACAGAACTGAGATAAGGCCAGGAGCCCACAGCCAGGGGGTGATAGTCCCTGGGGACTAAGCAGGCCAGGAAGACCTCCCTAGGCTGGGCTGCTCGCCCAGACCCAGCCTTTGTTAATCTCCGAATTCAAAGTCTATCTAGCCACAGATGGGGGATCTGGGTCATTCCTACTGGGTCGAGCGGTTTCGTTTACACTGAGAACTTTCTTAAACAGTTCTTTTAAAAGAAAAGTATGCGAACTGAAAAAGGAAAGGGGAGTGAGACCGAAATGAAGCTGTGCGGAGACCTAGAGGCCCCTGCAGGAAAACGCGCCGGTGGGGACCTGCCGTGCCTCCACGGCAGCGCGGTCCAGCGCGCGCGTCTACGCGGGCCACCTCGGGCTGTCCGGGTCATCGGGAGAGGCTCCCTCGGAAGCCCAGACGCGGGAAGGGCGCGCTTCCCTCTGCTGGGAAGGCGAGGCGGCGCCCAAGCAGGATCTGGCCCCCGGAGCGTCCACAAGCCCCCCGCCGCCCCGGTCGGGTGTGGCTGTGGCCCCCGCACGTCGTCCCGGCCCGCTGCGCCCGCGTCCCGATCCCGGCCCCTTCCTCCCGGTCCTCGCGAGCAGCCGCGACCGCGCCCCT